ACTGTTGCAGGGCGAACCCCAAGATTGGGCTCATCGGCTAAGGGAAACAATGACCCACACCTAGGAACAGTCAAGGATTTCTTTGAAGCGATGGCCATCCTATATGATGACCCGCAGCGGGCAGCCTCTGCCGAAGCAATCTTATACATACTCCGACAGGGCCGCCGGGCGGCAGAGGAATACGCCTCAGAATTTAGGCGTTGGATGGGGGACACTTGCTGGAACGAGTTTGCCTTGCTGCACCAGTTCCGCATGGGGCTATCGGAACTCCTAAAGGATGAGCTGGCCCGGGTAGAGGTTCCCGAGTCATTAGAGGATCTAATTGCCCTGACGATAAAAATTGACCGACGACTGCGGGAACGCAGGTTTGAGAGGTACGGCCAGGGTTGTGGAAACAACTGGGGTCCATTCCTAGGCCCCAGCCAACCACCCAGACCAAGTATCCAGAATCCACTTCCAAGAGATGTTCCAGAACCCATGCAACTAGGCCTGGCTCGGCCCAAATTATCGCCAGAAGAACACCAGCAGAGACGCTCTCAGAACCTCTGCCTCTACTGTGGGGAAGCCGGTCATATGGTATGATCCTGCCCTCAGAAAATGAGTAAGTGTACCTCTTTTTCTTCTTTGTCTATTGGCAACGTCAGTCCTTCCCAATACTTAGTTGTGCCCCTCTCCTTTCAGCTTCCAGAAAGGACCGTGGAAGTGACAGCCATAATTGATTCGGGGGCATGCAGTTGTTTTCTGGATTTAGACTTTGCTCGCCAGCAGAAAATTCCCCTCCAACCCAGAAAGAGGGGTTTAAACATATTTTTGGCCGATGGCTCCCAGATAAAATCAGGAGTGGTTAATCAGGAAACTCCCCCCATTGCCACTACCATTGCCAACCAACACCGGGAATTCCTCCACCTGGATGCCATTGCGTCACCTCTTTTCCCAGTCATTTTGGGGCTCCCTTGGTTACGGGCCCATAACCCCCAAATTGACTGGGAAACCGGGTCAATCTTGCTCCCTTCCCCATACTGTCAGGAACACTGTCGCACTTCAGGCCTGGCAGGCCCCCAGGTCCTCCTATGCTCTGAGGGGGACTCTGATCTGAAACAGGTTATTCCCACAGCATATCATGAATTCCTGGACGTGTTCAGTAAACGGGGAGCAGATACCCTGCCCCCCCACCGCCCGTATGACTGTCCCATCGACCTGATACCCGGCTCTGAGATTCCTTTTGGGCAAATTTTTCCCCTATCTGAACTCGAATTGGGGGCCCTGAAGGAATATATAGAGGACAGTCTCCAGAAGGGGTTCATCCGTCCCTCCACTTCACCAGCAGGGGCGGGGATCTTCTTCGTGGAAAAAAAAGACAAGTTTCTGAGACCGAGAGCTGAACAGGGTCACTATTAAAAATCGTTACCCATTACCGTTGGTGCCAGAGTTGTTTCAGAGCCTGAAGGCTGCGGTCATTTTTACTAAACTTGATCTAAGGGGGGGCGTACAACCTAGTTGGCATAAGGGAGGGGACGAGTGGAAAACGGCGTTCCGTACCCGGTTTGGGCACTTTGAATACCTGGTCATGCCATTTGGGCTGTGCAATGCACCAGCCACATTTCAACATTTTGTAAATTATATTTTCAGGGATTACCTGCACATTTTTGTTATCGTTTACCTAGACGATATACTGATTTTCTCATCCTCCCTGAAGGATCACAGGATACACATGGCAAGGGTGTTGGGGCGGTTGCATCAGCATGGGTTATACGCCAAGGCAGATAAGTGTTGCTTTGAGCAACCTAGCATTACGTTCCCGGGGTTGATTATCTCCACCACGGGGGTCGCAATGGACCCTCAGAAAGTCTCTGCGATTTTGGAGTGCCCGGTACCCGCGGACAAAAAAGGCGTCCAGCGGTTTATCGGTTTTGCAGATTTTTACCGGAAGTTCATTAAGAACTTCTCGGGTCTGGTCTCCCCCATAACTCAGTTAACCAAGCTTGGAACCCGGTTCAGATGGACGCCGGAGGCTCAGGAAGCCTTTGAGGCCTTGAAGAAGCTCTTTACCTCGGCACCCATTCTGGGCCACCCGGACGCTGCCCTGCCATACATCTTGGAAGTAGATGCATCGGAGAATGCGGTGGGGTCCATCCTGTCCCAGCAAAAGGGAACCAAAGAATTACTCCATCCCGTAGCGTTCTTCTCGAGGAAACTTACCCCAGCCGAGAAGAATTACGATATTGGCGATCGGGAATTGTTGGCCATCAAAACAGCACTCGAAGAATGGCTAGAAGGTGCCTCGCACCCCATCTTGACCTTCACAGATCACAAAAATCTCGAGTACCTGAGGACCGCCAAACGTTTACGCCCACGGCAGGCGAGATGGGCACTGTTCTTCTCCAGGTTCACTTTTCACATCACGTATAGGCCCGGATCTAAAAATACGAAACCCGATGCACTATCTCGCATGTTTGAAGACTCCAAAGAAGAACCGGTACCTGATACTATTCTGTCTTCAGGAAATTTCTTGGCGCTCCAGACGGACCTTCGGTCCAAGCTATTGGAGGCATCCACGGCCGCGTCAATCCCAGTTGGTGTGCCCCTCCAGAACAAGGGGGGACTCCTATGGAAGGATGGGTTGGTCATGGTCCCTAAAGAGGTCAGAACCCTTGTCCTGGGACATTGCCATGACCACCCGATGGTGGGACACTTTGGCCCAGCCAAGACCCTGGAGCTTCTCCAACGCTCTTTTTGGTGGCCGAGTATGGCCAAGGATTGTAAACTCTATGTAAGATCCTGTACCATCTGCCAGAAAAACAAGCCATCGAGGAACAAGGCTTGGGGACTGCTGCGACCTTTGCCGATTCCTGAACGACCTTGGCAAAGGATCGCGATGGACTTTATAGTCGAGCTCCCACCGTCTCAAGAACACACCGCGATCTTTGTGGTCATCGATCGATTATCGAAGATGGCTCACTTCGTACCATTAAGAAAGACTCCGTCTGCGTCCGAGACTGCGCGAATATTCATCCAGGAAATCGTAAGACTACATGGAGTCCCGGAGGACATCGTCTCTGATCGAGGGGTCCAATTCACATCTAGATTTTGGAGGGCCCTGTGCAAGGCCCTGGATATCAGGTTATCCCTCTCCTCTGCTTTCCACCCTCAGACCAACGGACAGACCGAGAGGACCAACCAGACCCTAGAACAATACTTGCGTTGCTACACGTCCTTCCTTCAGGATAACTGGTTACCACTTTTACCATTAGCGGAATTTGCTTATAACAACGCAAGCCATTCAGCAACAGGGCAATCTCTGTTCTTCTCTAACTACGGATTTCACCCTGTCTGTCAGGGCTCCAGGGTATGACCAGAGGTATGTGAACTGACGCAGGGAAACGCAGGCTTCAGATATGTTATAAACAATATAATTTATTAACACTAACAATACATAAACGCAGTGCAATACTAAAACATAACACAGTGCAAACGAACCAAACCACCCACAGATAACAATACATACAATGCAAGCGTTGTCAGGCAGGCCGGGTCAATAACAATCGGGCAGATAGGAACAGGAGGAGCAGGCAGAGAGTAGTCAGGTCACGAGCCGGGTACAGCAACTAACGGGTAGGTAGGTACAGGGGGTCAGGCAGAGAATGGTCGGGGTCACAAGCCAGGGATCAAACAGAAGTCAGCAGAGGTCCGGATCAGGCAGGGTCAGCAACGAATCAGTCAGACAGAGACAGGGACAGGAACAGGGATGCAGGTAACAAGATACAGGGGCCCAGGAAAAACACACACCAAGGCCCAGACTGCAGGTCTGGCCATCCCTTAAATACACCTGCATAATCAGCTTCAGGTGTTTGGCTGGCTGCAGGGTTGAGTCTCTGATTGCTGGGAGCACCCGCTGGCCAGCCCTGGTACTGCAGCCCACAAGGCAGGTGAGTCCCACCATTACTGGCAAGTCCCTTCCTGACAGTACCCCCCCCTCAAGGAGCGGCCTCAGGACACTCCAAACAGTCCTAGCTGGGCAAAATGTTCCACCGCCCGGGTCTGGTAACTGGTGGGATATCAAAGACTGGCACATCGAGCTGGACCCCGGGCAGCGGCACATCGGGCTGGACCCCGGGCAGTGGCACATCGGGCTGGACCCCGGGCAGTGGCACATCGGGCTGGACTCCGGACAGCGGCACATCGGGCTGGACTCCGGACAGCGGCACATTGGGCTGGACTCCGGGCAGCGGCACATCGGGCAGGACCCCGGGCAGCGGCACATCGGGCAGGACCCCGGGCAGCGGCACATCGGGCAGGACCCCGGGCAGAGGCACATCGAGCTGGACCCCGGGCAGAGGCACATCGAGCTGGACCCCGGGCAGAGGCACATCGAGCTGGACTCCGGGCAGAGGCACATCGGGCTGGACACCGGATCACCAGGCGGAGCAGCAGGAACCGGGCCACCAGGCGGAGCGGCGGGCACAGGGCCACCAGGCGGAGCGGCGGGCACCGGCACCGGGCTCCCCGGCGGAGCGGCAGGCACCGGGCCACCAGGCGGAGCGACAGGCATCGGGCCCCCAGGCGGGGGGCGGCGGGTGCCGGGCCCCCAGGAGGGGCGACAGGCATCGGGCCCCCAGGTGGGGCGCCGGGCCCCCAGGCGGAGCAATGGGCGCCGGGCCCTCAGGCGGAGCGACAGGCGCCGGACCCCCAGCAGGGATGGCAGGCACCGGGCCCCCAGGCGGAGCGGCGGGCACCGGGTCATCAGGCACGACAACGGGCATCGGGTCACCAGGCATCAGGTCATTTGGCTCGCCAGCAGGCACCGCGTCATCTGGCAAGGCAGTGGGCACCGAGTCACCAGGCACGACAGTGGGCTCTGAGTCAACTGGCATGACCGCGGGCACTGGGTCAGACATTGGATCATCTGGCCCGACAGCGGGCATCGGGTCACTAGGCATGACAGCGGGCACTGGGTCATCAGGCATGGGACTGTCTGGCTCGACAGCAGGCATCGGGTCACCAGGTATGACAGCGGGCACTGGGTCACCAGGCTTCAGGTCATTTGGCTCGCCAGCGGGCACCGCGTCATCTGGCAAGGCAGTGGGCACCGAGTCACCAGGCACGACAGTGGGCTCCGAGTCAACTGGCATGACCGCGGGCACTGGGTCAGACATTGGATCGTCTGGCCCGACAGCGGGCATCGGGCTGGGTAGAAACATCATGCTGGGTAGAGGCATCAGGCTGAATGGAGGCATCAGGCTGAATGGAGGCATCAGGCTGGGTAGAGGCATCAGGCTGGGTAGAGGCATCAGGCTGAATCGTGGGCGCCGAGGCACCAGGCTGCACCACGGAAGGCAGGTTCTCAGATGGGAGGCTGACCGGTTTGGATACTGGCAGGATGGTATTGGTTGGAAAGAACTTTCGCCTTTTCCTGGTTTTAGTTACCGGAGCACTGTAAGTAAGCGCAGGTTTGTAAACGGATGGAGCAGCTGGAGACAGAGAAGAGCTGGAGGATGGAACAGGGGAGGGAACAGTTGCTACAGAGGGCTTCTTTACAGGGTTAAAGGCAGGATAGGTGCAGCGAGTGGGAACAGGGTACTGACATGCGGTAGATAGCAGGGTATACTGGGCTGTAACTGGAGGTGCTGTTGGGAATGCAGGAATAGAGCTTTGAAGAAATAGATTAGAAGCAGGACTGGGTTTTTGCAAGCTGACTGAGGCTGGGTGCAACAAGTCTGACCATGTCTGCAGTATGGGTTGTGTCAGGAATGGACTGGCCAGCAATAGTGGGACTCACCTGCCTTATGAGCTGCAGTACCAGGGCTGGCCAGCGGGTGCTCCCAGCAATCAGAGACTCAACCTTGCAGCCAGTCAAACACCTGGAACTAATTATACTGGTGTATTTAAGGGATGGCCAGACCTGCAGACTCTGCCTTGGTGTGTGTTTTTCCTGGGCCCTGTATCTTGTAAACCTGCGTTCCTATTCCTGTCTTGTTGCTGACCCTGCTTGATTTGTTAAAAGCGAATTTCCAAGACAGTTTGGTGAGCCAGTGGATACTAACACGAATTCTGGGATAGCTAACCGAGTTCGAGGGGGGAATGAGCCATCATGAACTAGCAAAAAGTATGCCGGCATATTTCAGGTCTCTCTGCCATTTAAGAGGATCGCTTTTTGCGCGTTCGTGTTGCTGATTTCGCTCTCTGTTAGCTAATGTGAATTCCGCTTAACAAGGATCTATTTGTCCTAAAATCTTGATTTGTGGGTGAAAGACAAGGGTTTTTCTCTGCTGAGAGAGCAGCAGCAGAAGGATGGGTTTGGTTAGCTGGATTTGGTCAAGTTTAAAAATCTTTCAACCAAAAATTAAACGGGTATATGTTTTAGCGGGTAAAAGTTGTTGCATAGTTTAGGTAAGTATTTGTGGGTTGTAGGTACTGTGGTAATTGCTCTACCTCCCTCCACATGAGGTAATTATTACAGTGCTGAAAGGTTTAGGTTAATCGTTAACTGTTGTAAGATCTTTGTGTGTATGTAGTCTGTGCAGTGTTTTGTCGGTACTACTGCTCCCAGCCAGCATGCAGCAGTGGGTCCTTTCTGTTACATGTGCATGTTAGTGTGATATGTTGGTTTTTTCCATGTCTGTTCTGTGATTGTGCCAAATTGTGTTGTATGTATGCTGCATATTGTTGTGTAATTGTCCAGTGTATGTTTTGTCCCAAAGTCTGTTTTATGTAAGAGGT